GTAACTCTGCAACTGATACAGTGATCCAGATGATGCAGAGCCAAGGAAGCACATGGCATCACACGCTCGGGGAGTCGCCTCCGAGCAGGTGGTGTTGAAATCCAAAGGTTAGATTTGGAATAGAGAAAAATACAGTAAAGTTCCTGTTAATTAACAGGGGGTTTCTAAGTGTCAGCACACTGAGCAATCAGACGACCTTGCTGAAGGGTTTCTGTTGATTACAGAAGGAAGCCAGAGCAACCCTGTGCCACTTCCCAGGAAATGCTGATCCGTCTACAGGCATGGAAAGCCTTGTAGGAACAAATCTCAAGAGAAAGGCCAATGTCTTATCTTATCTTTAAACACTTGCTCTACTTAGCATTTGTTTTTACTGTGCTAGGGTAGGTGTCTCCCCCACTTGAGACTAATGATTTAATTTTTTGTTATTGCCACAGGAACATGTACACCCAAATTACTGTCCCCTGGCTGAGCCACACAAAACTTCTATTAGTGGAGGGCAGAGGACAAGAATGGGTGTGAACTACTCCCCTTTCTCAGGATTGAGCTAAACAAATACTAGTTCCTCTCACTTGGAAAATCAACAAAGCCATGAAGCCTGTTGCTTTGCCAGCAGAAACTCCTCTTGGGTTAATGCTGGAACTGGACTGCCCTGGGAGTTAGCCTTCTCTCCCAGTGAGTTTGTGATTGCTAACTTAATTTTGTTAAGTTTTGTAGGGATGGAAGCTCTGACTCTAGCCTGCATGTTGCTAGTTGTGCTCCCACACACAGAATTGCTGTTGCAGACCTGTTCTTGGGAGTTCTGGGTATTTCTGGGTGGGAATCAACAGGAAGATAGGATTCTTGCAACCATATCCCAAAATGAAACAAAATAAATAGTAACTGGACGAGCCATTTTTCCTTAAAAATAATTTTGCTTAAGTAACAGCAAATGTTGCAGTGCAATCCAGGGAGGCAGAAAGCTCCAAGCATGCCAGTTGCCAAGGTTGTACCAGTAACATCCATTCCCCTTGTTCCTTCCTGTTCCAAAGGAGGAATTCTCTCAGAAAGAAATTCTGGGCTTTGGGCATCTTGCTTATTTGGCTGAATCCCTCCAGAGGCCCAGCTGGCAGAAAGGAGGGCAAATGGATCAATGAGCTAATGAGCCCAGGCCCTTGGACAGTGGCAACTAGAAGCAAACTGCCCACGCAGCAGGGATTGGTTTGCACTTGTCTGACCTGGCAGAGCCGGAGCACACACATTTTCCAAAGATAGGCTTTTCAGGGTGATTGTTTTTTCCCATTACAGTCAGAGCTATTTCTTGGAGGTGATTAAACATCTGCTCCCATTGTATTTGGTTCTGCGATTGTGCTTGCTCTGGGAGAGCTATAAACAAATGTGCTTTCTCTGCCTTTTTTTTTTTCTTCTTTTTGGCGGAGTGTGTGTGGAGAGTCTACCAGTTTGCTGGCAACCTGCTCTTGCATCTCTGTGTGTTTTGGTTTCCTGAGCAAAGGTGGAAGGGCTGTCTTGATTTTATTTTGTCTACTGCCTTTGAGTGATTTTTCTCAGCTTTGCAATTATTGTATATTTGCAATTATTATTACTATATAAGTATCATGTAACGAAGATATACAGTCTGGCTATGCAAGGAATAGCTTTGTTACCATGCTCACAAAAAGGTGGGTTTGGAAGGGATCTCTGGGGATCATCTGGTCCAACTCCCCTGTTCATGCAGGGTTGTCTAGAAGAGGTTGCCCAGACAGTCTAAACCCTTACTCATCTCCTCCTTAGAAAAATAATAAACAGGGGAGGAAGTTACAGCCCTTGTACATTGAGCACTATGCAGATGTGTAGGAAAAAGAAGAATGGTGTAAATCTTTATGGGCAAGTTAATTATTAACTTCAACACGTAGATGGGGAACAGAGACTTGGAAGATCAAGACCAGCTCCATGAGCAAATCGTGGAATAAGAGAGAAACAATCAAACTGCATCAGGTCTAGAGGGTCTAGGCCCTCAAACACCTCCTACGAAGCAACCCCTTCCCCACGCCCAGCCCACCACAGGGACCCTTGCCCTCCGAATTGCCTCCATACCTATCATGTGGTCTCACACAGCACTCACCAGCTGGCAGAAAAGAAGAAATCTGGGGGGTCTGTTCCTGACTTACAGCCAGGTTGTTCACCACAAGAGCATCCCTTCTTTGCCGAGAGGGTCAATCCCAGCAATGACATTTCATTTGGAAACAAAATGCATTTTGAATAGAGATCATGAGTAATTTTATCACTGCCAATGCCTGAGTCTAGAGGAATCAAGAGTCATATGTCCATCTTCCACCCAAAGTCACAACAAAAAAGGGGGAAAGTGAGAGGAGAGGTGGCCGTCTCTCCTGCGTGTCACTTACTGCTGTGGGCACGGAGCAGTTGGGAGAGGCTGAGCTGCCATCAGCTTTTCCCTGGCAGGGAGCATCGCTAATCCGTCCTGGCGACCGGGCCCAGAGAGCCCTGCTGATTCCACAGAGCCTTCCCAGAGCACAATTATGATCTTGATCCATCCTCTAACTTGCAAAAATGCTTTCAGCTTTGCACGAAACATTTAAGTTGCTTGAATTAAAGCAAGGCTTATGGTTAAGAGCGTTGCCCATCTAGTGCCAGCAAAGAAGAAATACTTTTTAAATACCAAGTTTGTGCATCTCCCCTTGTCCTGCGCTAAAATCAGCTCTGAAACTTGGACTTCCAGTCCATTCTAATGAGCCCTGACATTAGCTGTCTCTATGTACCATGTCTAGATATGTTCAGTCCCAGCAAGCTCTTCTAAGTCCTCTCTTTAGGAAACCTACTGCGCAGCTACAATGCCTAGAGGCTGCTTGAAGGAAGACTGTTATTATAATAAGAAATAGAGATTAAAAATAGTTTTTATCGATGCTTAGCAATGGCGCTTGCACGAGCAATCAGACATGAGCTTAGTGTGGGAGGAATCTCCCTCCGCCAAGAGAGATAGAGCTAGAAATCCTCTGACGGAGAGGTGCAGGAGGTCACACATTACCCTCTGCTTGGGATCCTCCCTGGTTTAATATTGGCTGTGCTACAAAATCAGATTATCACAGGAGAAATGGCTTTAGACAAAGTTTTCTTCTCTGGTTAATGTATCAGTCAACCGTTCACGTTTCACTCCCAAGGATTCGGGCGGTGGGGCTGTGTTTCATCGTCGAGGGGAGAATGGTTAAACTAACTGTAAGCATAAGTTCTTGGAAATAGCCCCTAAAAAATGCCCTGAGTCAAGACAGACCCTCAGTCCAGGTCTGTCCTTTCACCTTTAGCCTGGTCCTTTTCACCAGACCTTTTCACCTTCAGCCTGGTCACGCTAAGCTCGTGAGTGTAGCTGGCTTCAGGAGGGAGTTTGGAGGACAGACCCTACCACGAGGCTCTCCAGGTCACTTCTCAGGAGGAACCTGTCTTAGTGCACTGATTTGGCAACATGATCTCCCAAGCATCCTATCCCAAAGCACTGCAGCGGGTGAAGTGGCGAGGAGACCGAGGAGACCGGGGGGCCCAGGCGTCCTACTGCTCCCCGACGCTTTTCTGCCTCTTTCTGCAGAGCAGATCCAGTCTGACTGGTTCTTCCTCTTGAAAGCTTCATGATGCTAATAACGTGAGTGGCACGAGTGCTTGTTTTCAGTTTTGTGACCCTTATAGTCCTAAAGCAGTACCAAAGTTATTCAGCAGGGAAAGAATATTATTATTTTAGGCCCAGATGGTGTAACTGGAGCTGTGCAAGCAGAGATGCCTGTTCCAGCGAGACCCTGGCCAGCAGCATAGATCTCTCAGCCCACCCCAACCCACTGCAAGGAGGTTGTAGACCCTGGGTTTGCTGGGTGCTACCTCAGAGACACGTCCCTCATGTGTGACTTGCACGCAGAGTACAGGAGCCTCAGTGTCTGTTACAGCTGCCCAGGACCTCACTGCAACACAGGTTCCCCTGCCACTGCTGACCAGTGCGAAGGAAACTCTGACCCGACAGCAGTGCCAGGGTGCAGCAGTTGTGGAAAACAAGGGCCCATGCTGCCAAGCTCGAGGTGGCCCACGTGCCTGCTTGTCTTCGCAGGAAGCCGCTTGCAGAGCCCCACGGCTGCCCAAAGCCCTGCGCCTCCTCAACTATATAAAACAAATGCACAAGTGGAGCAACTCCCTTTCCTCTCGTCCAACAAGCCCTGGGGCTGTCCCTGGTGTTGCCTCTGAAAGCAAAGGCCAGCACTGAAGGGACCCCAGGAAGGACAAGAGTTTTGTGCAGCGTCATCCTGCTGCTTTTGGCATTTGAACGTGCTGCCCGAGCGCAGCCCAACCTCCCCCCAGCATGGCCTTCAACCTTTTTTCTTTCCATCCCCTTGGCTTTGGCTCTGGCCTGGCTGAAAGGGCCCACGCCATGTTTATAAAACCCCTCTGTCCGCTGGCAGCAGCGCCGAGATGCGTGTGTGGCGCAGGAATTTCTGCCCCTGCTCTCTATGGGGTAGGAAAGCACTGCCATTACCCTTTGCTTCTGCTTTTCTTCAGCTCCTGAGGCCAAAATAAGCTCTGTGAGAGAAGTAGCTCAGAAATATAAACAGGATAACTGAAAAACACTTTTCTTCCTTGTATAAAAAGCGGCCTCAAGTATTATAAAAGGGACCCCATTGCTCTGCAGCTGCATGAGCAGCTCGGGCCTAACGGCAGCTGCTGCAAGCCTTCAGCTGCCATCGCCCTCACTCCCATGAGGGAAGCTCAGCCCTGTTCAGACGTCCATCTCAAGAGAGCAGCAAAGCCCCGCCAAGCCCTAAGGACAGCTGAAGGCACAAGAGGAACCAAATCCAAGCTTATTACAAAGACAAAATTTTTAAGTCGAGGCAGCACCTAGCTGAAGTCACAACATACACAGCCCAAGGTGCGCCATGATACTAGATGTGTCCTCAGAGAACTATGTGGGACCAAAGTGACCCCCAGCTAACTAGCGAAAAGATACTTAAAAAACATTTCCAAAGCTACTGGCCATGATGGCTCTCCAAGAGGAAGGAGCTTGCATGGGCCCACGTTGCATCCTCATCCTGCAGCAGGCACTGGAGCTAGGCCTGCAGCAGCATCAGTCCCACAAAACGCTGTGGTGTGTGCAGGTGGGCATGTAGATGGGCAATGATGTGAGCAGTGAGCAGTGGTCAGGACTAGTCCAAAGTCTTTGCTAAAGTCTGTAGGAAGGGTCAGTCTGCCTTCGGGAGGAGACTCACCATGTGGTTTCTGGGCAAAGTCTCCTTTGGGCAGCTGGTACAATGAGATATTGGCAGGTCATTTCTGATGGCAGCCCGAGTGGCTCGTAGATGAAACCAGATTGCCCAAAGTGGGAGTGATTCACTTTCCTTTCTGAGTGAATATGGCAGGCAAACAGCATTCCCCTTGAATCCAGGAAAAGGGAGATGAGAGGAGATGGGTGGTGGGAGGCAAGAAAATCGCTGTTTCATCCAGTTGAAAAGTTAAACCCTCATGTTTCTCTTTTTGTTAGATACGTTATCATCACTGTTCTGCTGAGAATAAAGCCTCTCTTATAAGCCCAGCTGAAGATTTTTGGCTTATCAAATTCAAGGCAAAGTAGAAGATATAGATGTGAGGAGCAGGAGGGGGAAGAAAACATAAGGCTTTAATGTCATAGCTTTGGAAGTTGAGATGCTTATCTAAGCCTGTTTTGTCCTTTCCTTGATTATGTTACTTTGAGTTTGCACAAGGAAACCAGCCTAGCCAACCTCACTTCTGTTTCTTCTCAGTTCACTCTCTGAAAATTATATCATCACAGATGTACACTCAGATATTCGTCTTATTTAGGACAGTTTCACGTTCAACTTTCTGAAGCTGGCTATCAGGAGGACTCAGAATGCTGAATCTGCTGAATTCAGGCCCAGAAAGCAGCAGCTCGATGCACAAGCCAAACCCCACACTGGTGTTGGCAGACACGACCTGCTCTCCAGGCCCTGCATATGACCTGTGAGGGGCCAGGCAGGTCACATCCCTTTATTTTGTGCCTTGAACAGAGTAGTAACTAACTGTGTCGCACACTGTTTAGGAATGGCTTGTGCATAAACTGTGCATTAATGCAGTGGGGAGCAAAGTAAAATTGTATTTGCAGTCTTGTCCTGCTGCTGCAGGGCCGTTCAGGAGACATCTCCCGAGCCAGGGGATGTTGATAGACACCTCTACCATTACCAACCCTCATCATTAGAGGCCTGATGTCCTTGTCACACTAACACTGGTGATCATGTCCCAGACACTACTACAGATTTGCCTTGAAACATTCTATCAGAATATAACCATAGTGACCTCAAATAAGGCAGTTTGCTATTTAGTTCAAATGCATTATTTGTGTATATTGCTTTGGAAAACATCTGGCTTTTGCTTTGCTTTTAATGTATCCGACTCTTTGCAGATGTTAACTGAAAAGAGTTGCTGCCCCAAATTTTTGTATTTTTTCTTCTTCCATTGATTAAAATGTTATTAATTTAAATACTAATTACTAATCTTGAACATCAAATTATTTCCCAAAGACATGATTCCCTCCATTTTATGCGTATGTAAAATCCTTTTGAAGTTAATTTGTTTTCCTAAAATTGCAATAATCCAGTGATACAGCCAAATCTGAATAAATTGAGGAGAGATCAGCAGAAATGCAGGTGCCAATGTTAGGGAAGAGAGAGATGAATAACAGAATGAAAAACAAACTAAAAGGAGCTCGCTAGGTAGGCTCAACTGAATCGCATCAATATAAATAAAAACCTTGTATGGGCCTCCAAATTGGGCACTACTTACAAAACAAAAAGCTTCCTCAGCAGTGTTGTGTCTGTTCAAAACATGCTGAATAGCCTTGCCTAAATGATGCTTTTTCTTTATTTGGGTCAGGTCTCGCTGCAGAAGAACTTTTTGAGAAACCAACCCTGAGCATTGCAAAGGAAAGAATTGTCATCTCTCCCGGAGACATCCTAAAAATAAAATGCAGGTAAGAATTGCTCCAGCAGCACTGGATTTCCTTGGTTCTCTTGATTACCTTGGCCCAGTGCAGCTTCTAGATAGAGGAGAGCAAAGATTGCTGTGCAGCCGTGATCCCTTGCCTGCTTTTCTGTGCAAAGTAGAGTTTAACAGGCTTTATTAGAGCAGGGAGGAAAGTATTTTGTCAACACTCAGCTTGGATGGAGTCTGTACATTGTAAAGGGACCTGAGTCAGCACACAGGAAAGCTTATGGTAGGGGAATGTATCTCACTTAAGGACATGACTGGAAAATCCTCCTCTGCAGATAGGTTCAGATTCAGCTCCTGCATAGCTCAAATCAGTCTCTCACTCCCTGTGCATAAGTAACTGACACACAAGATGCACAGCCCATTCTCTATATATTTGCTTAAACTTCCTGACCTCAAATACTGCCCAGCCTGTGAGATGACAATTAAATAACCAGCAGTTAGTATGCGTACATTCGAAGTCCTTACCTGTTCGAAAACATCATCATCTTTAAATCAAGGATAGCCAGGACTCATAAAGACCAGACTGTTGTTCATCGATTTTGAAGGCTCTTTTGGCCCAGCATATAGAAACCAGCTCTGTAAGAAAAATGCAAAATTTGGGTAATGACTTGTGTTTATAGGGAGATGGTCTTCTAGAAATGCGGACTGCAGAGTGCCTGGTAACAGCTGACTGGCACTGTCTGCTGTGTCAGAACACGCGATACAGCTCGCTCAGTCACACCAAAGCCTCCGCTGGGTGTGAGGAGACATCACTTGTTCACTTGTGCCGAGGGTGATTTACATGGCAAGCTTTGGGGACAGGCTGTTTTTATAATTTCTTCAGAGAGGACTGTAAGATAGAAGGCTTAAGGTAATGCAAATTATCTGCCATTCCCCCACCCGCGCCACACACACTATTTTTACACCTTCCTGGCAAAGTCTCCTTGACTATTACCCATAACCAGGACACATTTAGTTTCCTGCAACAGAAGTAACTGGAGACAGTGAGACGACACAGTGGGAAGGTGAATAGGAGCTATCGTTTTGCTGACAGATATGCCCCTTCTGATTTTTCTCCCAGTCTGTTTAATCGAGTTTTATAGTGAAAAGCAAGTTGGTTCATTCTGCATATACTTGCGATGTTTCCTGCAGTGCAAGGCAGTTTTTTTCCCAAATACTTGCAGCTAGCCGGGTGGCTTATGAGGTCAAAATAACCTTCCAGTGATATTTTTAGTTTGGCAAGCAGCAAGCATGATGGCAATAAAGTTTAAACTGTCCTTTAAAATCTAAATGCCCCGTAAACTATGTTATGTGGATGTGAGTTCAGTGTGGTGCTCCAGGCCAGTTAAATCACTACTTTCCAGCAGTTCTCCATCCATTGCCCTTTTAATCTGTAGGAACATCCTATTTTCTCGTATCACCAGATGAATGAATGAGTAAAGAAATTATTATTATGTCTTTAGCACTCCTGTAGTGCTGGCAGTCATCCCAAATTACTTTATGAATGTGAAGCAATAAATCCACCCAGCAGACCTGAGAGGTAAAAAAGTATTACCTTCCATGTTAACTTGGGAAAGGATGCCCAGAGCAGTTTGGTTAGTTGCTTCATGTCATGCAACAGCAGGGAATAGAAGTTAGAAATGAGATTTCTTCATTTCGAGTGTGAGATCCCCCATGTCAGGTCCTCTGATGCTGGTCATGGAGACATGAACACCTGCACGCTCACAGATTATCTCCACACTGGCCCAGAAGGAAGCTCTGAAGTTACTCCTGCTTCCAAGGAGCATTAGGGCTGAGTGGAACACAGCACAAGAGAGCAGAAAGAGCTGGTAGAAGCTGGATGGAAGATGGAAGACCGAGGTAATTGTGTGAATCTCCCTTCCAGCACAAGAGAGCAGAAAGAGCTGGTAACTATGGAAGACCGAGGTAACTGTGTGAATCTCCCTTTTCCCTCAAACTCCATTCTTCTGAGGTTCTTGGCCAGGATTTCCTAATGTTTGGCAGCCTGGCCAGAGCTGCTGCTACTGCTGCAAATCCCTTCTGCCACATGCATGAAAATCCAAAGGCTAAGGGCAAAGTCTTTGTCTTCTACCTAAATAACATGGAAATGCTGCTGGAAAAACTGGGCACATTTACGGAAACACAGGTGTATGAAATCCCTCCTCTATTCTGCAGAGCCGCTGCTGCAGATTTCCAACTCTGGCAGACATCAGGCTGCAGAGCACAGGGTGACCGGAGAGGGACAGGGGCCTGAACACTCAGTCGGTGTTGAATGTTTGCAGTGGCATCACTCCATATGCAGGACCACAAGTCGGGTTTTTTGATGAGGTGCTCATTCGGTCATTAATGACGTTAGGAAAGCTGGGAAAGAGCATGGGGAAGGGACTTCCCCTCCAAAAGTAATTCAGTGCTCTGAAGGGCAGGAAGCTGGTGTGACGGATGAGGTGGGGTTGTTCAAGCCAGCAGTGCATCCAAAACCGAGGGTGAGGCTGTTCACCAGAGAGGATATTCACCCTTTTCCAATGCTCGCAGTCAGCTACGTGCTGGGAATAACCTCAAGAGTTCAGCCCCATGTCTGCATCATCTTCAGGAAGGCGACAAAAGGACGGGCAGAAACGAGTGCCAAGAGGATGTTTGTTTAAGTATCACTGAGAGTTTACAGGCAAACATGTTCCCTTGCTGCACCTATTGCACCATTAGAAAGCAACTGGCACAAAAAGAATAGTTCGCTCCAAGCCGACCGGAAATCGTACACGGCACATTCGGCGGGCACAGTCAGTGTGAGCATCCCTGTGCTCAATGGACATGGCCAGACCGGATTTCTCCCTGGCTACTCTCAGTTGGAGAAATCCAGAGAGTCCTTCCTCAGCTCAGCAAATGCCACTGGGTCAGTGGGAGTTCACTGAGCACTTAGTGAACTCCCTGTGCTTTCAGAGTGGCCTCTTTCTTCAAACACAGAAAGAGAAACTGCCCCCCTTTTACATTAACATAAACTCCAGCTTCTCCAAAAGAATCCATGGACAGGTACTCCCCGATGCTCCATCAGCTTCCACACTGATCAGCAGAAACCAGTCCCTTATAGAAAGACCATAATCTTCACCACATGAGCACCTAGTGCTCCCTTAGAGCCCTCCAAGTGCATCCCACACCGAACAGAGCTCCAGGAGCATCTGCTCCCATGGGGTGCCCTGATGTTTCTAACACAACAGGATTAGCACAGCCAGGGCCTGTTGCCAAGATAGTTTAGATCAACTGAAAGCTCTGAGTTCCACAACAGGTTATGAAAAGACCTTGCTTTGTGACAGTGAACTATGTAGAATTGTATTTGACATGAGCTGTGATCATAGATAAGACAACGGATAGATCAGGTGAGTGAAATGGTGTATTTACCCTGCTGGTTGTATGTTCTGACCACAACGACAAGTTGAATAGGAAAAATGTGTCTTGAGCAGATATTCTGAGATCTGTAATCTGATTAGTTCCATACCCTTCACAAAATCAAGGTTCAGTCACTGCTGATTAAGCAAGAAAGGTGAGGAGAAGTTACGTAAGTGTTCTCCTCTCTCGATGCAACCTTAGAGATGAAAGAAAGTATAAGTTAATTTAGCTGTTAAAATCTGCAAAGTCTGCAGTTTGGAAGAAACATATAATTTCATCTGGTACTTTCTGATGTTTGATGTGTCTAAAATACACACATATATATATATATATATACATATATATATATATAAAGCTTCTGTTGCGGATATCTCTTAAAATAAAAAATAACTTCCCTCCAGGAATAGCTTCCTACAGTTACTACAGGCTGCTCTGGGGAAGAGTGTGGGATGATCGACCTTATCTTCTTCTGGCTGGGAACACAAATCACCCTACAGCTTTTCTCATTCACTGCCAAATGGCAAGAGGATGAACATTGGGAATATCAATACAAGTTGGCCAGGAAGAAGCCCAAGGTTTGTCTGAGATCACAGCCCACCTTTAATGTCCTGCGTTGTGTTGACAGGGGAGCACCTTCAGTGAGCTGGCTTTTGCGGGAGAACCAGAGAGAAGACCCTAGGATACACATCAATAGTTGCCGTAATAACACGAGGCAGAGCTGCAGCACGCTTGTCGTCAGGAAGGTCACCGCGAACGACACCGGCTACTTCACCTGCATTCATGACGATTTCCCAACTAATGAGGATCTCATGGCCAGAATTTATGTGTTTGTTAAAGGTAAGAACTTCATTTTGCTATATATCCATTGGGAATATAGGCTGTGTTACTGTGCTAGCTGGAACAGGCAATTCAGTTGAGATGCATTAAACCCCCCCCTCCCCACTGACCCTGTGCTGGAGCAAACAGCGGCTGTGGCATTTTGGAGAGGCTGGATTGCATTTTGGGTTTCCGTGGAAGCTGAATTCACAGGCACTTCTTTAAAACCTCTTTTCTTCTCCTTTCTTTTCCATTTTTTGAGCTGCCTCCCCTCTATGCATGAGAATTGTTGAGTTCAGGTCTAATATTATGTAGAAAAATAATCTTCAGATAAGCAGGGTTTTCTGCTTATCAGCGAATATAACACCATAAACAGCAATTCCAATAGTACGATTTTTTTGTTAAGAGAATATTCCTGGAAAATTATGATTTTTTTCCAATCTATTTGACAAATGCATTATTAAATTGTTGAATCATGCAGGATCTTCCAAGTTCTGACTGTAAGTGTAGTGTAGCTGACCTTTTGTATCTTGAGCAGGGTATGACACAAACTGCATGGGTGCTGAGCAGTGTTGCCGTTAAGTTTCCCACACATACTCATACAAATGGGTGAATTTCATTATTTTCCACTAATAACTAATGTATGATTGTTTGAATATTCTTCTTAAATGCTAGAGAGGGAATGAGTTTGGCTGATATTATTTGAATAGTTCATTAAATCATCTGCTGACAGGAAACACTTAAGCATTTGCTAGCCAGCTCTAGTAGTCTCATGGCACGGTTAATTGGTGGAACCGTCAGGAGGCCTGAGGGCCGTCCCAAGAGGATTTTTATGTCCATACAGCTAAATTAACTTCTGAGCTACCAGGTGAACCCATCTGTTTGATTCATGTGGATTAGATTTTCCTGTCTTTCTCTGTCTGATGAAAATAGTCCTCTTGTGCCCTTATCCTGCTGTTCCAGCAAGTCTTCCTCTATCGGAAAAAGGCTTTTTGGTGCTACTTGTTAGTTCCTGCAGTCATTTTTTTCTCCCTTTCTATTTCCTTGTTTTCCCTGTTTTCCCTTGTTACTCCAAGCCCTGGTTTCTTTATCCACCCTACTTCTTGTGCTGAGCTTTTTCCTTTTCGCATTACACACTGCTCAGATGCCCCCCATCCAATATTGTTAACCCAACCTAATGCCTGAACTACAGGAAACTGTGCATTGAAAACCTCCATTCTCTGTCCTGATTCAGTGCCCTGGCTGGCTGTGCAGGACTTCATTACTCTATGGTGGGAGCACGTGCAGGAAATGTTATGGATCTTTTGGGACCGCCTGAGCACTTTTCTTAAGAAAATATCTCGAGTTATGAAATGCTTGCCGGTGGTGGAAGCACTTGGAACACTGCTAATGTGAAAAATATCACAGGATGTCCTCCGGCTTGCCTGAGCCTATTAATGCCCTTAAAAACAGCAACTAGAGAAACGACTGTTTTTTTCTGAATCACCTCAAAGAATCTCCCCTTGCAGCTGCAGTTTCCTTGTGTGATAGGCCCTCCCTGCTCTAGCAACCTTGCCCAGGCTCCTAGGCTTTAAAAACTATGGAGGGAAGTGCAGGCACAATAATGAGCCACCTTGTACTGTGCACGACATGGCTGAATGGCTGGGAATAGACGGTCAGTGCGGAAGCATCTAATCCGTGTCCTGCAGAGCCCGCAAGGCTCAAATCAAGCGTTTTCCAGCTCAGCGTGGACGCTGTCCACGGGGCACGCTCTTCTTCCCCTGCAGTTCCTATACATGGTTGCTGTTTGGGGACATGAAAGCTGCTGGCCAGGGTGGGCTGCTTCTCTTCAACCTGCAACCCTGCCTTTCTAAGGAACCTGGCCCTCCTCTGCCTGGGCACTGACTGTGTCCAAGGGAAAATCAACATTCCCTGTGGGTGCCGGGCAGGGGAGAGGGGCAGAAGAGCTCCCTGGAGGAGGAGAGACCCTCCCTGGGAGAGAGCGAGTGCCCAGCAGGGTGTTTATACGGCCAAGCCAGGTGGAGCGAGAAGATGTTGAGCCAGTCCCTAAAGGCTGGCAGTTCCTCAGCAGTTACAAGCCATGATTGCCAAAAAAGGAGAGAGAATGGGATTTTTCCCTTCATTCCTGTCATGCTGCTTGACACTGAAATGAGAACATGATTGTATCGGAAGCGCTGCTTATTGGCTATTATTTCCTGTGCTCGCTTCTGTTTTTACAGCCTCCCTAGTGCAGTGTCTCAGCTCCACTGCAATCTGGCACTCGGCAGCCCTCGCCACCCAGTGCAGTCGAGCTGAGACCCCTACACATCAGCCGGATCATAAGGGACCCTACGGCAGTGGGGTCGGCCTCCAGGCCCAGCTGCGCGGGGACGGGCGGCCGCAGGGAGAGCTCGGGATGCTCATCCTGAATAACTGTTCCTGGGGCCTTTTCAGCTTCCTGCTGCAGCTGCAAGCCCCAGCAATCTTAATTAAAAAGCAGGCAGCCCCTTCTCCTGTTGCTCACCTCATTGTTGCAAATACACTGCAGCTCGTGGCCGGAGCAGAAGTAGTTGGAGTTTTTTAACTCCACAGTTTAACTTCATTGCAAGGGAGTCCAGGAAGCCCATCCTTGGTGCTCAGACCGTCTCCTCACTGCAAATTTGCTGCCCACCTAGGAACCCCCAGAGTAAAGGACTCTTGTGGAGCTAGACGAAAGGCAGTGCCGCCTGTTCCTGTCTCCTGCAGTCACCCTTCCGACATGAGCAGATGCTTCCCTGGGATAAACAGCTTCGTTTCTTTCAACCTTTGTGATTCTGGGCCCAAGCAGAGTGCAGGCTGTCTTGTTTTGTGGTCCAGTATACTGTGTTTCCTGGGGCACGTGTAAAATTTAACAGGGCTTAGGAAAGAGGGGAAAGAAGAACAAAAAAAGCACATCAAGCAAAGATTTTCTCTCCCTGCCCAAAGCACTACCCCAGGCCTCAGTCTAGGCAGAAGTTGGGACTTGCAGCTCTCAGCACTTTGAAATACAGGTACAGTCAGCAGAGCAAGTGCTTCAAAGTAAGGCAGTCCTCAGGGCGCTAGCTGGAAGAGCTCCCGGTGCTGTCGGAAATGCTGCTGCAGCTTTTGCTCTCGTTTGCCCCCGCAGTCCTTAGCTCCGTACTGTAACGGCACCGCGTTTGCTGCCTGCCGTTTTGCTCCACTCAGTGAATGTGTCAGTAGGAGCATGAGCGAGGTTCTGCCTCACTTCCTGCCATCGGCAGCTTCACTGACCTTATCTGGTCCTGTCTTGCCAAATAGTGTCCAGAAAAGCTCATCCATATTTCCAAATTGTGCATTCCTGTCCATGCAGCCAAACAGTGCTGCTTTACTAGAACAGAAGGTTAAAGGATGCAGTGCAGGATGCTTGAAGACATAGGACTAGCAGTGCCAACAACAGGTATGCTTTATTTTTTATGTTTTAAGCAAAACGGGGCTGTTATCCTGTTTCTGAAAGTAATTATGGCGATGTTAGGGCTGGTTCTCAGCTAAGGCTGGTTCTCAGCTAACTACTTCAAAAAAACAGAAGTCCCACCTCCTCTGACCTGTAATTGGCACAAGGTGATTTATATGAGCATGATACATCATGATACATCAGTGATCGCTGTCCCACAAGTCCGAATCCAGATGGTTCAGAAAAGCTGCCACCCACTGAAATGTCTGAATCCTGAATACTGGCAAAGACAGGGATCACCTCAAAGGTGAGCAGAGAAGCACTGCAGTCCCAGGGACTGCCAGTCATAATATAGCACTTCATGAGTTGCATCGATAATTCACAAACTAAAGAATCCTAGAATGTCCTTCAAACATTAAGGGCAGCTTTCCTGGGCTAGCAAGGCCAGCGGCAAATACCTACATCTTTATTATTTTGTTAAGCAACATAGTTCTGGAAATGATAGAGATAACCAACACGTAAGATTTTATCCGCATATTTTTACAAATACCTTTCCCTGTTTTAACTTCCCTCTAGCAAAGCTGAGCCCAGTTTTCATTCCAAAAGCTTTGTGAGGCATCAGCTTAATTTTAAGTGATTTTTTTTTTCACTTATTTTCTTCCTTCTCTGCTTCTTGGGCATTTTAAAAGCATGATAGTTCTATAGCTTGCATGGGACCTCCTACCTCCTGGGCTCCATCGAAAGGATGATATATTTACAGGCATGCCACAAAGCTCTTAAAAGGGAATGAAAGCTCCATAACTTTTGACTAGATATACATTAAATGAATTCTTTCTTCCTTTGCCCTTGTTTTTATTTGCTAGATTTTTTTATATTGGGTCTTAGAGGCCTGGTGATGTACAGACACCCCACATGCTCCCAGCAGGCAGGCAGAGGCATTTGAGAGCAATGCACTCCCAGTTTCCCTGGTCACCTTTGGTGATTTTCAGAGGCAAATGAAGATGTACCAAATGAAAACATAGAACAAGCTTTTGTGTGTTGCCCAAGACCTGGCGAGCCCTCTAAACAGGCGCTTTGGACACTATTACCCTTTGCTTTTTTAGCTTCTGTTTTCAGTCAGAAATAAGGAGGTGAAAAATAAGAAAGCTGGAAGTTGAAGTCACTGTGAGTTTGGTACGTGGCAGGGTGACTGGACTAATTTGTTTCCTGACATTTGGCTTTCTGGACTGCCATTTACGTGGTGTTGCTATTGCAAAGAACAGGAAGGGAAGGTGGTGCAAGAACCGCGTGAGGATGGGCTCTGCCTTAGCAGGGAGTGCAGAGCCAAGGTGTGAAGCCCCATCTTTCTCATCCTTCCCCACTGAACAAAATCCACAGAGGCTTGAGGTGCAGGAAAGCACCCCTCACATGAGATCATATTTTGGTCCTGACATCCTTTGAAGCTGATTTCTGCCTCCTTAATTCACTTGACAGTTCACAGAGATAATCTGAATGTGAGAAGTAGACATGCAGGGCCAGGGTGACAGCCCTGACTTGGGCTTTGGCTTGCTTTCCAGAAGATAGCACCAGTGAGAGGAGAGTTGGGGCTGCATTTCTTCCTTTTTATATGCTG